CAGAGTTATTGCCTACTATGATCTTACTCAAATTTCTAAACCAACTATTACAATCTTTAAAAGAAATCTAAAGAAATTATACATTGATCAAGTAAATCAATATTTGATTAAAAAATTTAAAATTTCAACTCCAACTATATTCTATACAGACTTCATTACTACAAATTCCAACACTCAACAACAACAACTTCAACTACAACAACATTTTATTGACTCTGCTACAACAATTAAACCTTCCAAAATTAACGAACAACAACTCTTCCTTAACAACTCATCTGCAAAACAGAAAATTCTTGCTAAATCTAATAATTTATAACAACAATCTCAACAACAACAAAATTTTATTGATACTATCACAAAAACCAAAATTCCTAAAATTAATAAACAACAACTTTCCTCTAATAATGCTACTGTTAAATGGAAAATTTCTGAAATCGATGATAGCCTTTTCTTCTAATCAACTTATATCTTAATTTATTAATTATATATTCTTACAAATTCTATTATTCTTTTACTTTTATATTTTATAACTTTATACGATTAAATATACTATACACTCTACATAATAGTTTTCCTATATAAACCTCTATATAGCTAATTATTTTTCTTATACCTTATAATATTATACTATTAAATATACAAATTATCTATAGCTTATTTTTATCCTTAAATTCACCAATTAAATACTTCATTTATTTTTCATTTACTTTTTTCTTTTCACATTGCTTAAAGAAGTTTTAATTAAACCAACTGTAATGTCATGATATATACCTTAGATTTCCTCTAACCTATTTTAGCAAACCAATTAATGATAATAATTGATTGCACTATATAGAAAATTAGAGTGTATAATATCACATTGGGTGTCTATTATATAGTAGCACAAATGTAGTTCTGAAATCTTTAATGTATAATTTCTTTCTATTTTATTAAATAAAGTTTCAACTATGGCATTTACAAAAAAAAATATTTATAAAGTAATATTTTAGAAAATAGAAATAAAATTAAACTTTATTTTAATATATATTACTAAACAAAAGTTTTTTTACATCTATATTTGTTTATAAAGAGATACTATAGTCTTAAAATTTTCTAAAAACTTATTAAATAATTGGTCTAGATAGTATGTATTTTTTTAGTAATTTTTCAAATAATAGAAAAAATTTTAGATGAAAGTTAAAGTTTTAAATAATTTTTTTTACAAAAAATTAAAAAATTAATTGGGTTTAATTAAAATTAAAAAAATCAAAATCATATTTAAAAATTTTAAATATTTAGTATATTAAAGTTCAATAATTATTTATATTAATGACAAAAATTTAACTCGTTAAGATAGTTATTAAGAAATTAATTTTTAAATTTTAAATTTTATTATTTTATTTTATTTAAAAAAATTTAATATAAACAGATTTTTATTAATTTTACTATAAGGTAAAAGAAGGTATTTTGGTGAAGTTGAAAAAATTAATATAAATTTTTTTAATTTTTATTATAAAAATACTTTTTATTTTTATTTAAATTGTATATTTATTTAGAATTGTTTTTACAATATAAAAAATTAGTAATATAGAAGATTTTTTTAAAAAAGCAATTCTTAAAGGGTTTTACTCCAGAATCCTGACACCCAAAATTCCAACACCCAAAATCCTAACATCAAAATCTCAACAGTATTAAAATTCTGATATCTAAAATTTTGACATCAAAATCTTGTTATTTCCAAAATCTTAACAGTTCTAAATCTCAATATACTAAAATCTTGATACTATCTACATAAATCCTGATACCCAAAATTCTGACAGTATCACAATCTCAACAATGATACAATCATGACAGTGACAAAATCTTAACAATCCAAAAATCTCAACACTACCAAAATCCTAACTTCACCAAAATCCTAACATTACCAAGATCTCAACAATGCCAAAATCTCAACAATACAAAAATCCTGACAGTCACCAAAATCCTGACAATGCCAAAATCCTGACTGCCAAAATTCTGACAATGCCAAAATCCTGACAATGTTAAGATCCTGACAATACCAAGATCTTGACAATACCAAGATCCTGACAATACCAAGATCCTAACAATGCCAAGATCTCAACAATGCCAAGATCCAGACAATGCCAAGATCCAGACAATGCCAAGATCCAGACAATGCCAAAATCCTGACACTATCAAGATCCTGATAGTAACAAATCCTGACTGAAGTGCATTCCAATTAGTTAAGTTTTTTGGTTTACAAAAACTAATTAATAAACCCAAAGTAAACCAAGTATTTTGTATTAAATAAAGATTGAATTAATAATACATTTATTTAAATTTCTATTTGGATTCGATAATTATTGCATATATATAATCAGTTAGATTTAAAAAATACAACTTTTAACAATCTACTAGTATGTAAGAGATGGTGATTGGGTCTAGGAAAATCAACATAGTACAGGCTAAAATCTAATATTGCATTGGAGATAAAATCAGAAGAAATTTATAGAATTTTACTTTACATTGCACCCGAAATTTTTATAAAATGCTATATATTACAGCATCTGATATTTACTCATTTGGCATAATTATTTGGAAAATTTTATATAGAAAATTAGTATATTGTGATCACAAATTTGATAATCAACTTCAAACAGAGATATGTTGTAAAAATTTAAGACTAACTATTATTAAGAATACACTATAATGCTATATAAATCTAATAAAAGAATGTTGAAAAAAATGTTCAGAAGACTATCTAACTACAAAAGAAATTTATAAAAATGTTGGAATTATCTGAATCTGAACAAGTATTAAAAGATGTTTTAAATATACCTGACCCAAAATACATTGAATCAAATTATAGAAGTAGATCTTATTGCATCCCTGATCTGTTCAACTCATATAAAGATGATTTTAACCTGTGATCCTTACAGATTAGCGCAATCTGAGTAATAGCTCTAAAAACACCTACAGATAAATGTTACAGCTGATGCTGAAATTTAGAACTTAGATTCAAAAATATAAGCTCTGCTAAAATTCACATATATTCAATTCTATTTCTAAATCCTAACTCTAAAAAAAAAGTAGAACAAAACACCACAAAAATTTCATAACAAAATAGGTTTGAATTTCAGCATCAGTCATAACAATAGATAATGTAAAAAGATATTACTATAAATTATTACTATAATAATGAAGTGTGTGAGAAATTAGTAAACTAAATCAATTTGCAGGTGACTTGGTAAAATTACAGTTAGGTTTTCTTTAAATGATAGAGATCTTCGATCTGTCTTTAATTTATCAATAGTGGGAATGTAAATTTTTACTAAATTACCAGGTTCATATTTTCGATTTCGGTTTGTTTTATATACTGCTTCTATTTTGTTTTAATAGATTTATAGTTTCTTTTAATATTTAAAAGAGCAGCATGTTGAATAATTCCATGTTTTGGATGTATAGGCCGAGATGAATTTGTAATATTAAGTAATAGTATTCTGGGCTAAAATATTTGAAATTGTAATAAAATTATAAAATAAAATAAAAATAAAGTAAAAATAAAATAATAATAATATATTATTATCTATATTCTGAATTCAAGTTTATATTTTCTATTTCAGGTGGTTCAACGATATTCATTTTTCCTTTTTAATAATAGTATATCAATTTCAATTGATTCTGAATCACTAATTTCTATAATTTCTTGAATATTAATATTTTCATCAATAATTTCATTACTATAATCTGATACAATCGTCATTTCAAAGCTACTTTCAAACTTCTCTAATTTAAAGCATTCCAATTCAGAATCTAATTCATTATCACCAAATTCAAAACCTTCATAATGCTTTCTAATTTAGGCCCTTCCATACCTTTTAATTCAGACCTCCTATACCTTCTAATTCAGAACCTTTCATGTTTTTTAATTTGAATCTTCTATGCTTTCTATATAATTCAAAACTTTCCATACTTTCCAATTATTAGAATGTTACTTGAATTTGTATAATTACAAGAATATTTATCAAATACTATATAATAGGGTGTCATTTTATGAGAAAAACAATATTGATTTGTTAATGCTTTTTCTCAAGACCATTATCACTGGGATTTAAAAAAGTCATTGCAATATTCTTGTATACTGCTAATATTTTTTTTCACCAGAATTTAAAAAAGTTACTATATATTCTTACTGAGTGTACTGCTAATGCTTTTTCTCATTCTGATCCAAGATCATTATCATCAAATTTCAAAAAGTTAATGCAGTATTCTTGCTGAATACAACTGCTAACACTTTTTCTTATTCTAATCCAAGATCATTATCACCAGATCTAAAGAAGTCATCGCAGTATTCTTGAAGAGTGCTACTACTCCTTATCTGATCCAAGTTCATTATCACCAGGAGTTAAAGTATTCTTGTAATACGCATCTGTTAATACATTTCCTTTTTTAGATTCAAGTTTGTTTTGAGCTTTTTTCAGTAAGAGTGCAATATTATTTAAATTCTATAATAAAATATTTAAAAAAGCTTAAAACATAGTTATTTGCAAAAAACCAAATTGTAAGGTCTTAGAGATCTGGTGATTCTAAAAGTAGTTTCAACTTTTATTACATATTAGTATTGATTACATATTAACAAAATAACGTGAATCTTTTTATTAGATTATCAAATACAAATCACATTTCGAAGCATTATTCTACCGTAATTATTATTTATTTTATAACTATAATCTGAATATAATATAAAAAAAAAAAATAAATAAAATAAAATAAAAAATATATATATATTACAAAGAAAGGTATGAATAAAGATTAAATGCCATTGCACGCAAAAATTCTATTACTGACCAATTTTCTTGGTCATTAAAAACTGCTATTATTCTTCTCTTCTTTTCAATATAATATTTGCTTAATTTGGGTCTTGGTTTTCCTTGGAAAATGCATTCAATCTGAACATCAACATGCTACTGCTCTTTTTGCAACTCATTTATTAATGTATAAATACTTATATATTTACCTTCAACTAAATTATTCCAATGATTATGTCAAGCCTCTATAGGGTTTTGTGTTTGTGGAATATCTAGATCAACTGATTCATATACAGACCAAAGCTGTAGGTGAAAAAAAGATAAGTCACAGATTATTGTATTACCATCTTGTGATTTACTTCTTACTCTTTCTATATAGTTATTTTCAAACTATTTAACTATGGTTGTTTTTAAGCAGCTCTTTCGATTTAATTTGCAAGTGATCGAGATACTACTTAATCATTTCGATTAATCAAAATTAATTGAAGTGATTCCTGTAACAATTTTGACGAAAATTCATTATGCGAAATATAGATTTTAAATTTCAGCCAATCAGAGTAACTCTATAAAAAAAAAGATGGTTGTTAGCTTTAGGTTTTTTTGATCAAAATGATTAAACATAATTTATTTTTTCAGCCAATCAGATCACTTTATTGATCATAGAGGAGGTGCTTGAGAACAACCTATATCACTTGTCTCAGGAGGTATATTAGTTTTCAAATTTTCAAAAGTAGCAGGAATCTCATTTGAAGATAAAAATGATAAGGCAAATAAATGCTGAATTATAAAGCTAAATTAAAACTACTGCTATATAGATAACCAAGTTATACTCCTGAATTTTATAGCAGCCACTTTGATATAAATGAAAGTAACACAATTTATTTCTTGCATTGGGTAGTTCACAATATGATGTATTAATTATAGCTTTCTCAAAGTCCATAATTATTTATGTTAAATATAATTGAAAATTTATTTCATTGTCAAATTTAGACAAACTTTTGAAAAACAACCTATATTTAGAGTTTTTTAATTAATAATTATAATACATAACAATAAGAATTCTAGTTTAGAGATTAGACCCGTTAAGAAAATCTCTACCCAGATATTATTAAATTACTTGGGTTATCTGAGTAAGTTATTATATATTTTAGGTAATTATATAGTAATAATTTCTACCCAGATTAAATCTCTACATATTCCAGTTTATTTATCCAATAAGTTAAAATATAATTAAAATAAATTTAAATTATTATCTATACAATTCTTCTGATTTTTTTGTCATTATTGCATATACTAATGGTAAGATTTAAGAATTTTTTTCTGGACTAACTGGTGTATAGATTGTATATAATTGATAAAAAATAGACAGAACTGTTTTAAAAGTCTCATCCATTAACCAAAATGAAGCTTCTAATAGATGTTTAATATTTTCTTTAGTAGAAAAGATAAGAATTCTATGTTGGCCAAGTTACAATCTTTAATTAAGAAAGGATTTCTGGCCAAAGTATTATATAAAATAGGTGGTATAGTAATATCTAATGCATTTGTTGATTGCAATTGTGGAAAATTTTCATTTTTTCTAGCACGATAAATCATCTTACAGATAGAATTAAAGGACAGTATATAAGGCTATACTTTGGGAAATTTTGTTATATTATCTTGAATTAATTATATAGGCTTTTTCTGAGTTTCTAAAGTACATTTTTTGATACTAGCAATGGCCGTGACAACTTCAGAGCTACAGTCATATCTGAGTTATATCACCTCTTTTATCCAGGGCATTTTTGGGGATATAACTAAGATAGAGATATATTTTAAGTATTACGCTTTGGTTACGTGACTATCGACCAATTAAATTGCAATTTTTTTAAAAATTAAATATATATTTAATAATCAATAACTTTTGATCCAGTGATCAGATTTGGATGATTTTACCATCAAAGTGATCGTCTTGAAGAGACAATTTTAATGAGTCCAAAATAGTTTAAATCTGATCAATATATCTCGAGATCGTTAAGGTTTTTAACTATGCCAAGTAATTAAAATTTAGTATATAAATTATATCTGAAATAATAAAAAACTTTAAGGATCTGGTGATCAGATCTGGACAATTTTGGGCTCATTGAAATCATTTCGAAGAGACGATCATTTCGGTGATAAAATCATCCAAATCCGATCACTGGATCAAATGTTATTAGCTATTAAATATTTATTAATTATGGTAATAATTTATTTTTATGTAATTAATTCAACTAATAGTATTATCTGTATAACAATAATATAGGGATATATCTTAGGTATATTATATATTATTTATATACTTTTGGCTATAGCTTTTGTTGGGGATAGAGATATAATCAAAAATTACTATAAAATAAGATATAAATCAAGTAAAATTAATATTGGAAATTTATTCTGCTAAAAATTGGTGATATAACTCAGGTTGGGATATAACATAGTGGAGATATAACCCAGATATGACTGTACTTGCTTGAGGAGCATGATTATGTTTGGTTGCACTTTGTAAATAATGTAAATTATTTTTTAGAATCGTAACTGCACGACTTTTACAATTTTTTTGATTCCAGTTTACGTTGATTACAACACCAATAAAATTTGTCTTCCTGGTTCTGTTCTTTTACCAAAAGATATTTGTTAATTTTAATTTTAACATTTCTTTTTTGTGATGGAACAGTTTCACAAATTTTATTCATTTTTAGTATTTTCATTCTTTTAAAATAAAGGATAAAGTATAAAAATAAGAAAAGAAGTAATACAATATAATAGAAAGAAAATTCAATGAGTATAGAATGCTTTAAAATTGGTAAATGATTAATAGAACAGTTAATAGAATGAAAATCAAATCATATAAATATAAAAATAATGAATAAAATATATTTCCTTTATTTAAGTTATTCACTGATTAATTTAATAACTACATATTTTATCAATGACAATATATAATAATTAATATTTACATTAATTTTTACAATTGATATTTACATTGATTTTTACAATTCTTTTATCATCACATACTTTATTTCTTTTTTTTATTCATTATATCTGAATTGATTTTTATTGCTTTTATTACAAATTTTCTTCTACTCTTATAGGTTTGCAAGAATATAATTTTATGACCCATGAAACCTTTATCTGAATATTAGAGTTGTTATAATAAATATTTAAATGTACTAAAAAATCCAGACCTTCAGTATAATGTGAAGTTCAAATATTGGGTGGTTAATACTTTTAAAGTTCATTATATTGATGTAACAGAAGAACTGCATCTGCTTAAATAAGATAAGAATAACCTGAGAATACAAGTTTGTTAATCATTAAGCAACTACATAAATTTATGCTTGTTTTTAAAAAATAAAAATACTGTAAAATAATAATAAGAGATATGCCATTTATTACATAATTTTTATCATAGATATATGGTTCAGCTGAGTGATCATATTACACATATATATATATTATATAATATATAATCAAATATATAAAATATATAATATATAAATTATATATATTATAATAAATCTTTAATATTAAGGGTGTAGTGACTTAGTGAAGTTGGTAAGTTATCACACCCCAAGTGGCAGGACAAGAGTTCAAATTTCACTGACAATAAAATTTGAATTTTACAGAATGTATTACAGCAGACTATGTGTAATCTGATGGATCATCAGATCTGTAGCTTTGGTTGTACCAGCTTATACTGGAAGAATGTAGAACTATAGTGTAATTCAAAAGTTATACAAAACTCAAGTGAAGTATTTGTGTAAATCTAAGAGCTGAAGTACATGGAATCCCTCTTGGCAAGTTCCGAGTAGAGAGGTAGTACAGATCTTCGACAGCACTATATAAAGGATTATCACCAAAGATCCAGAAACTGGACAGAACTGAAGTGTTCGGCAAGGCACCATACTAATCAAGCCGTCGGTGTATTCTGAGGAAAAAGTTCACCCTTTCAGGCTATCTAGATTGGGAGTTTGAAGCTGATAAAATGCTAACTGGACTGTAAAGTGGGTGCTGGGGTTTGGGTAAACTCTACAAGGGCAGGAGTAAGTAATAGTAGTGGTTTTGGCTCGTAAATACTCATTCTCAGACTT